TTGATGGATGTTTTCCAAGCAAGGTTTTTGTTAAATAGGTTCACACCATGTGCACATTTAGAAAAAAAAAAAAAAAACAGCACCACATACAAAGGGGGATGTGCTATGACGTTGTAAATGTGAATACAGTAGCCTTATTGACTACTAGTAAGTAATAATACCCGTACATAGGTAGTGCCTAAACACAAGTTATTCTGGGCAACATGCCACACCGCATTTCACAGAAACGTAACTCTCGCTGAACTAAAAGTAGTAAAAGTAAGTATTTTCCTCTTTTTTTCTTCCAATATTGCACAAACCAATGAACTCTGGAAAGTACGCTGAGTTATATTATATGATGATATATTTTGCCAGACCATTCGCCAGAAACCTAATGAAATCAACCTGTCACATCACGGAAAAAAAACAACCGACTAAATTGCGGTTCATTGTGGGCCTTTTTTTTTTTCCACTCTTCCCAGTTTCAGACCTTTGATTAAACATGACGATAGCAACTGCAGTTCAAATCAGGACAAAGGAAGTCAACCCAAACGCTTTCTTCCCCTGGCCTAAGTGTGTGTGTGTGTGTGTGCACTTGTACGCGCGCGCACACACTTGTGCACGTGCGTGCGTGCGCATGCGAGTGAGTGTGTGTATATTATATGGATACGTGTGAGAACAGTCAATTCCAGAGAGATGGATGCTGTGTTGGCTTGGATTCCTCCAACAAGGCCCTGTCCAAACATATCAGTCTTCCCAGCCTCTGAGGGTCTTGGAGCAGCAGGGAAAAAGAACCGGGGGTGGAGGGGGTGTTGAGATGATGGCGAAAAAAAAGAAAAAAAGGCAACAAAGTGCCAGAAAACTGCAGTGAGGGAATAGGTTCACGGCTATTGTTGGCAGACGTGTACCCTACTTCGCCGGCCTCGGCGCTCCGATGAAAAACAAAAGACGAAAACAAAGGGTTCGGCCAGATTTTTCTTCATTAGATCCGTAAACACGTACAAATTTAATACACAACCAAAGTGCGACAAATCCTCTGGCGATAGCCTGGATGCACCGCTTCCTTCTAAGATTGGGCTTCTTCGGTCCCAAGGCCCACAGAGACCGCAGGTCTCCACTATCCTAAGGAAGCCGAAAGCTTCTGGGTTCGAACCCCGACGTGTCTGTGGTCCACCTGTAAGGCATTCTTGAGCACGACGCCTCATCCCTCTTTACCTGTTCGTGAATGGCACGTATCTAAGAAGAGAAATCGCTGCTGGTCCCATTGGCTAAAAGCATCTGCGAATGTACAGCCAGCCTGTCATTATTGCAAAATAAACCCCGACAGGGTGATGCAGGACTCCGGACGCGAATTATACACGGCTCCTTACTAAAGAAATCAATATTTTGAGACAAAAAAGAAAAAAGAAAAAAGATTTTGATTGATTTCAAAACGCTTTTATAATGATGATCTATGATTATGATTTTATGATTAAGATTATAAAGATTTATTATTAAAAAATAGTCTGTTAGACTCCACGGTTGGGGAACTGCGTCCATAGCAATGGGCCCATAGCAAATTATTCATTGCAGCGTTCTGCTACTTAGAAATAACAGACCGTAGGATGTAGACAGTATTCCACAAAGCCGTGAAGTAAATGACAATAATAGTAAGTAGCATTATCCATCACCCATAATACACACTTTCTGACAGGGTTGTTTCATGGTGATCCCTCAGATCACTCTGCAGTGAACATTGCTTATCAATTTGTTTTTTGTTCGATGGAGTGTTTGCGTGCAGAGTCAAACCGCCGGCTCCCTTGAGACTGTGGACGCCCTCTTTACCGCCGGCTCTTCTTCGGTGGATACGAAACTGTTCCTGCACATTGGTTACAGCGGGGAAGACTTCAAGCGTTGCTCTGACGGCACAGTGCCGAGGTGATGATTGAAGGAATGTGCTGGAAGACCCTTTATGCATTCTTCCTTGATTATGCGGTCCTCATAAAATAAAATAAAGAATCACTCACAAAACTTCTTCGTCATCGTCCAGATGGCTTTATAGCCGTATTATTCACGTACGCCGAAACTAACTGCTGACTGGTTGATGCGGGTAAGAAGTTCATGCAGATGTATTATATTAATTCTGTCGGGTTTGTCAAGAATACATTATTGATGAACATCTCAAACGCATTCGGTGGCAGTTTGCAGTTTTGTGGTCAAAACGCTAGCCAGTTATTTGTACAATTTGTACAACTCCACTCTACTCTGCTCTGCTCATAGCCGCAGAGCAGCCTCTACTAAGGGTAACATTTAGCAAATAGATCTTGTCAAAGTACCCAAATTCATATTTGCTTGATAGACTGACGTCTATCGCAGTTTCACAACATGTCAATAATCACAGTGAGATGATTGACCGGATTACAAATACACTGTGAGTGAAATGTTGTTTCGGGACAACTCCAACTAGGCATTAACGAGAGTGGAGTCGTCGGAACGGTATGTTACAGCACCCCCTGTTGGCCAGAAACGGAGCAAAGGGCCCGAGGAGTTATCTGTGATCAGCAGCGACAATGGAAACTGTCCCAGCAGCCCTGAGGAAAAGCATAAACAAGCCAGTCCTGCGGGGATGAGGAAGCCCGGTGCCTGCCTCTGCACGTTCCCTCTTACTCAACCTCCAAACTGGCTAAAACCGGTGGGGCAGAGACAGGGAAAGAGAGGCAAGGTCATCAGATATATTAAAAAAAGGTAGGGAGAGAAAGAAAGAAGGAAAGGGAAAAAAATATGGGATGAAATGACATGCTTAGTTTTGGCGAAACCGTTGGTGTGTCGAAACTCAGCGAGGTGGTGCAGGAGGGGGCATCGTACCAGGTGTGTGTGTGTGTGTGTGTGTGTGTGTGTGTGTGTGTGTGTGTGTGTGTGTGTGTGTGTGTGTGTGTGTGTGTGTGTGTGTGTGTGCGCGCGTGCGTGCAAATGAACATGCGGGGTCTGGTTTACATCACTGTCATTTTCCAGTGCCTTCATCAGGGATGGGGAAATGGAGAGAGGGTAATGATGATGATGATGATGATGATGATGATGATGATGATGATGACGATGACGATGATGTGGACGACGACAGGTAGGTTTCTTTCGTTCCTCCGTTTGTCTCGTTGTGTTGCAGCACCGAACCGTGCGTAAAAGGATCGTTTGAGGCACCTGTACAGGAGTGAACCCTCGACGCTGGCAGGCACGGACAAGCCTTAACCCATGTACGACAACAGCAGTTGCCTCTGGGCCATTTAGCAATGCGCATTGGGCTCTGGGCCACATACAGATTTGCACCTGTCAGCCAAACCAGATATTATATTTTTGTTTGTTATATCTCCAGTTCCAAGGAGCTGTGCGTAAGCTTTATATTGTTTTTTATGTTCTTAGGCAAATCTTGTTTTGGCTCTCAGACCCATTCTGTAGGTCTACTTGTTTTTCGGTCGTTTGGGAAGACGGCCTTTTTCGACTCACAGTTGTACAAAAATAATTTTAAAAAGACTGGGAGGGAACATTGCAGCAATGGCGCAACCTAGAGGAGAAGACAGGTACAGCTAACAGCACAATATAGTTTCCTAAGATGATGAGCAATAGAGAATCCCGAAGTCTTGGTACCATTTTCTACTACTTGGTACGATCTAAAACGCATTATTAGTGTGACTTTATCTCTGCGCTCCATTTGAATGGCCAATAGCGCTATTCTCAGATAATACGCACATATATAAACCAGTCAACCAGAACAGAAAATGATCAAGTAATTCAATTGAGGTGGACCATGCCAGACCAGACTACTATAGTGGACCATGCCAGACTAGACCACTATATTGGATTATAGTGGACCATGCCAGACCAGACTACTATAGTGGACCATGCCACACTAGACCACTACAGTGGACCATGCCAGACTAGACCACTATAGTGGACCATGCCAGAATAGCCCAGACCACTTTAGTGGACCATGCCAGACTAGCCCAGACCACTATAATGGACCATGCCAGACCAGACCACTATAGTGGACCATCCCAGACCAGACTAATATAGTGGATCATGCCAGACCAGACCACTATAGTGGATCATGACAGACCAGACCACTATAGGAGCCGTCCTAGTGCATCTTTCCCCATTGGGTGGGCCTACCGTAGAGTCTGTGAGCCCTCCCACGGAGACAGTGAGGCCCAGCAGGGTGTGGTAGCGGTAGTGGGCGAGGCTCAGCAGCTGGGTGATGTAAGGGAAGGCGTGGGAGGGTGCGTTCCAGTTCAGAGTGGTCCCCGTCTCACTGAAACACACAGCGGGGGTAAAGGTTGTGCATCCACCACTGCTAGTTTAAAACTAACCAGTAGTTACTGAGGACAGACTTATCAACACACTTACGCATAGCAGGTGCAACCCAGTCCTGTTCACCTTCACAACCTTTCCACGTAGGAGGGTAGCGCACAGGTGTAGTTCATGAATTCATGAAGCAACATTAATTAAGACCGGTGTTCCAGTACAGACCAAACTAATCAATTCACTCTGACATCCTCTATGCTGGGACTAAGACATACTTAAAGAGAGACAATGTAAGAAAGGTCCTCGGATCATCGGATCATATTTCCATAATACGTCAATATTCCTTACGCGTTGCAAAGTAAAACAGGGTATTACCACAGGACTAAAGACACAGGGATGAATGTGATCTGATCCTCCAGGATTTGATTGGGTTGTTCAAAAAGTGACAGAACACGCTAGCCAGCTTTGTGTTAGCCCGTTGCAGGCTTCATATGAGGGGGAGTGGAAATACTGGAATGATGTAATTAGTCAAAATGCACGCCTGCCAGTGTGGACAAGTTGCCGTTAGATATATTAGAGATGACAAGTTTATTAGATTTGAAAAATAATAATCGAAATATGCAAATAATCGAATAGATTTTTTGGGGGGTGTATTTTGTTGAATTGGTGAATGACAAAACTGTGGAAATTAGCTAGCAAGGTGAAAACAAAAGGCTTGTCATTTAGCGGACGCTCTTATCCAAATGTGTCATGGACATTGGGGTTCGAACCCAGACCCTTTCAGCTGGGAGCCAAACACCCTAACCACCACTAGACTATCCTGCCTCAGGGGACTACTGCACTGTGTATTTAAAACATACCCAAGACTCATGCGACATGCTTACACCTGTGTGTACCCTGCTTCCATATCAATGTAAAAAAAAAAAAGAAAGAAAAAAAAGCATCCTTCACCGACTCACACAGGGAAAATGCTCAGCAGCTCCTCTCTGTGGTGGATGTGAGGTACTGCAGGGGAAGAGCAGTGAAGGAGGCGCAGGAAGACCATGCCAGCGTGAGCCCTGTAGCGGTCAATCTTTTCCGCCGCCTGCTGGGCAATGCAGCACATCATGCGCTCCACCCTGCACACACACACACACACACACACACACACACACACATGGGCACACGTGTATTTAAAACATGTGTACGCACACACACATGTATGCACACACAGCCACAGCCACACCCACACAATTATATTAATGGAATACTACAATAATAAGAACAGATGTGTAAGACACACGTGTATACGATGTGTAACACACACGTGTATTTAAAACACATGTGTACGCACACACACAGCCACACCCACACAATTATATTAATGGAATACTAAAATAATAAGTATATATGTACTTTATTAATCGCAGGTAGGACATTTGTCATCCTAGCTCCTGAATGTGGCATTTCCAGAACTCTGGAAATTACATTTCCAGAAAAGTTATTTGAAATCATGTAGAAGCATGTTTTGATTGTCATAGACACGCCAAGTGTTGAAGACGTTATTCAGTTATTGGTTGGAAGTCAAGCCTGCCAGCACTAAACGTTAACATGTTTTCAGAATTTAAACGTTGGTGTAACACACAGTATCTTCATTTTGTCTATGTGTGCATGTTTTACAGGACATCTTTACAAAATTAATTGGATTTGAATTCATACTTCCGAAGGGATTCTGAAAGGACTCATTCATGACATTCATATTCATGACTAGAGTTAACTAACCTATGTACCTGTTGACACTGATTGGTCAATAAACAGAGTACAGGCCCACCCCTCCCCACCCCACCCATACTATACTGCTGGGTAATGTAGTTTGTTTCCAAAGTGTACTCACAGGTCTGGTGAGAGGAGCTCTGGGGCAGTGCTGACCACCAATAGGGTCACCTCCATCAGGCTGGTCATGGCCGCCTGCCTCACCCTGGGATCACACACACACAAAACAACAGACTCATTCATCAAGGCCTTAATCACACTGAAAGGACAAGTCGTCCTGCATGTATGCAAAGCTCCGTGAAGATAAACGTTGCTATACTCAGAGACCGTATGCGGTCCTTCGGCCGGACGATGACCTCAAGACATGATGCATTCCTCAGCAACGTGCTTCTCGCCCGTCTCTGCAGAGGAACGCGTCAAGTGATCGCTGACTGGTCGAAGTGGGGGAAGAGCCGTGAGCGTTTCGTTTGGGGCAGGAAAGCGCTATAACGCTTGTGTACACGTTAACGTGACGTGGAAGTATGAAGCGCAGGCAGCTCTGCGAAGATCTCGCGCCGTGTCTCTGAGTACCGACTCGTTGGCCCTTTTCGCAAACATTACAGTGCAGGACTGTGAATTCGGCTTCACTGAAAACCTCTGTTGTTACGGTTCAACTCATTTGGTCTTTGTGTATTCGTCCTAAATGCTAAATAACAAAGAATATTAATTTGTACGCAGTGAATCGACACACACCCACACACACACACGCGAGTGCAATGTCCAAGCATGTCGCGAAATGTACCAAGGTGCAGGTATTTCATCCGCCCTCCCTTCCCTGATCCCTCCTCCCTGGAGGGTGCTCAGCGAGAGAGAGAGCCAGGCGACCGCAGGGCACCATTTGTTTATATGAAATGCTGCACAACGCTCCTCCTAGATGAGAGTGCAGTGCCGCGCCCGGCCTAGTAATTGCAACAGTTGAGTAATATTGTCAAGCCCAACAGGTGGGAACAGGTGCGTGACGAAGAGGCGAACAGGTGAACAGGTGTAGAGGAATTCCTCAGGGAGGGGGGGTGGACGAAGGAGAAGGCGAAAAACAAAATAAGGTCGCCGACGAACAAAAAATGTTATTATTTTTGGCAAAAAATGGAAAAAAGTCGCAATGTAGAGTTGCTCGGCGACAAGTGACAAGCCTGGAGACGAGCGACATGCCGGGTGACATTCCCCGCGAGTAGGTTAGCGTGCCTCGAGGCCACCGATAGGACGATACGGGACGACGGGACAGGTGTGACAGTGTCTCTGTGTCCCCAGGGTGGAGGGAGGGAGCAATACACACATACACACACACACACACACAGGAACATTCCTCGTCCCTTAGGCCAGTTTAACCAGTGAGAATGTATATTAACCCTGGGCGTGTGGGCGTGTGTGTGTGTGTGTGTGTGTGTGTGTGTGTGTGTGTGTGTGTGTGTGTGTGTGTGTGTGTGTGTGTGTGTGTGTGTGTGTGTGTGTGTGTGTGTGTGTGTGTGTGTGTGCGCGTGTGTGTGCACGTGTGACGGTCCTTCTCACCAGGCCCCTACGTCGCCCCTGCTGTCGGTGGTGTAGTCGCCCATGCTGTGGAGCAGGGGCCCGTAGACCTGCGAAACGTTCCCAGAGCACAGCACCGAGTCTGGGGAACCCTGGGCGGAAACACCCGCCTTCACACACAGTCTGAGGGAGAGGAAGGGAGAAAAGGAGAGAGAGATGGAGAGAGAAAGGGGGAATTGAAAATAATAGAATAGTAAAGAACAAAAGAGCAAAAGAGATGCCTGTTTTTATTCACACATCAAAAACAACCCAGGAAGAGGACCAGGAAAACCCAAGTTAAGTCATTAGTTCACTTTTTCCTTTGAGAAAAAGAATATACGGGGGCCAAGCTAATGGATGAACATGTCATTCAGGTCCGGCGGGTAGGTGCAGCTGAGTGTTGATTCTAGCCATTCAACCTACGCCTGAGCAAAGACCCATAATCCCTATAGACACAATGCCTGAGTGGGCAACGAGAAGGTATGGGAACCAAGAGACAGTGGGGGGAGGGGTGAGGGGGGTTAGCAAGACACAGGCTAGAAAAAATGACCACTGGACTTGAGCCCAGAGCCCAGAGACACGATGGTCCACTAGAGAAGGTAACACATATTGACCAGGGACCATGTGCCCTGGTCAATGTGGGACCATGTACATGGTCCCTTAAGTGTTTTGAGTGACACATGTGTTTGTCCTACAATGGCACCTCTGTGAAAAGGGTCTATTGTTATGATTGTTGAGCGGCGAGATGGCAATATTGTTATATACAGTGTGTGGTGGATGGTGTTACATTATACACGCAACACTATTAAAAAAAAAGTCTAGTGTGTCAGGCGGCTGTGAAGAGGCTGGATCCAGGATGAAAGGTGACACTCACTGAGCGATGGCTAGGACTGCATCCCTCCTCCCCTCTGTGAAGCTAACTTCCTTCTGGCCCGCCACGCACGCCTCTCCCAGGCTCTCCAGGATCTAACACATTGGAGGGCAAATGCACACACAAATTACACTATGTAAATGGAGACAACAGGATGTGCGTGTCGGCTGGAGAGTGTAAACAAGAAGGAGCTGTTAGCACACCTGCTGCAGTTTGCTCTGGGTCATGCATTTGGGCAGGCAGCCCAGGGCCAGTGCAGAGCTGCAGCGTGTCAGCACCTCTTGACTCTTGAGACCGGCCACGTACTGGGACACTAGGAGGTCTACGCACACAAGAAAACACACACAGGGTTGCATGACACAACACACACTCAAACGCTCGCTCACACGCGCACAAACACGGAGGCGTTAAAACACACTTAAAACACGCGCTCACAAACAAACAAGGTTGCATCAAAATCCACTCATTTACTTAGATAAACAACAGACCCTCGGAAGACAAAAGCGCCTACATACATAACACAAAAGTCTAGACACACACACAGGTTGTGTTGATTTTCCTGTTTGAATGCATTACGAAATGGAGAGCGTATAAATGGGGCCGGTGTTGTAGGGGGGGCGGTGCTGCTCACCCTGGATGCGGGGGTCGGCCTGGCCCGGCTGGGTCTGGTAGTACTCCTCACACAACGCAGCCAGGGCACCGACAGCCGAGTCCTGCCCATGAACAATGAAAGCCATTGTTTACAGACATGAAAACACACAACCGCCCAGCACTGTCTGTTTGTTCACCCGAACAGTGGGAATGGAGGGGGGTGTGTGGGAGTAAAAGAGAATCCAGTTTTTACACATCAAAAACAAGCAAGAGAGAGAGAGAGAAGAATGGGTCGTCTATGTGACGTCACAATGTTGCCGTTACCCTGACGACGTCTCTGGTGCGGGTGGACACGAGGTGAAGGCTCTTCAGAGTGTCGTCGATGAGCCACTGCCAGCCCTCTGGGTACGACAATTACAATACGACTTTGAAAACACCGGACACATAACACGCGAGGCCGATGGGTCACATGTGGTCGATTAAAAACAGAATGCAGACGTACCGATGATGGGGTCGTCTTTGAGGGGCAATTTGGAGAGGGACATCTTCTCTATCAGGGTGCACACTGTGGAGACGGGGCCGCGTTGACATGGTTAACGTTGTCAGAGGAACATTATTGTGCTGCCGTTATATTGTTATAGCAATTTAAAAGAACAGGTCGCAAACCTTGAGTTGCGTAAAGGATGTTTTTTGTATTATTTATTTTTATTAGTTTATGTTCGACTCACTTGCAGGCCTCATGAGCTCACCACTGAAGCTCCTGTAAAAAAATGTAATATAGACCATCATCATCATCATCATCATCATCGTCGTCGTCGTCATCAAATATCTATAAAGATCAAAATGTACGGCATCTTTTACCTGTACTGCTTTTTGTCGAAAAGCTGCAAAGGAAAAGAAACACATGGCTTATATTATAAATACATATGGATTGAGTGGCCACATAGACTTTGGTCAGTCAGATCTTGTATAGCTACACTCTAAACTATAGGATTACCAAATCCAAGCACAAAAGTTAGGCGGAGATGCAGAGGATCATTCATTTGCAACCAATAGATTTTCAAT